AAGCCACAACCAATATGCTTCAGCTATTAACTACCAATTAAATCTTGCTCTCAAGTGCCATGGTAGTGTAAAATATTTAAATAGTGTTATGGATAAAGCCAGCTCTTTATTAACTAAAATGATTATCAAAGAATGGGGAAGTTCAGATGCTACCGTAGAAAACCGTAAATTCATCTCTGATAGCCTCAAATTAATTGTAGACCCAATTGCCTTTCCAGAAAAATACTGTTGGGAAGAAGTTAAAGATTCCATTATTATCTTGGGTAAATTCTCTCAAATCAAAAATTGAAACAATTCCCGAATTTTGTTCAAATGATTTCAGAGATTTCTTTGATAAAATATTTTTACTATTATTCAACTTCCTTGATTTTATAGTTTCAATAAAGATAGAATAATCAAGGAATCAGTCTATTCGATTATGTAGAAGAAACTGAAAAAAGAATTTCTTTACTCTTCGATTTAGTAAGTGATGATTGTCGTTTATACCATATGGTTCGTATCATCTCAATTCTTGAAGATTTAGATCAAAATCACTTTTCTAATAAGGTAATATTATTATTTTTTTATTTTTTTTCATTTACATTTATCATTATATTAATACTTTTTTATTTTAACAATATAGATTCAAATATCTTTTATAAAAACAGTTTTAACAACTAAGCCACCAAGGCATTTTTTAATTCTTAAAATAATAAAGTGAAGATGCAATTGAATAGAAATAGAAGATGAAATTCAGGATAAAAGTGAAGTTTAAGAAAATTCAAAAGTATTAAACTAAAATACAAAATAGTATTGATTTTTAAAACCTCATCCAGTATAAAACACTTAAAAACAATTATCAAAATAATAAAAAATAATTTAATTTTTATAATAATAAATAAATATTTTATTTGACTATAATAAAGAAAAATAAAATATTCATAAAAAAAAAAAGTAATTTATTTGTATATTTTTAATGCCATTAACATATAACTATTTTATTTATTTAATTTTTTGATGGTAGTTCTTTGTTGTTTTATTAATATATTATTTAAGACTTGCTGGTAATGTTTCTAGGTTCAATCTTATTCTCTTATTGGATATACATTTCACTTTCGATATTATTACTTTTAATATATTTTCTACGACTGAGTGACCTATTACTTTAGTGTTTATTAAGTGATTGAAAAATTATGATTATCTTCAGTTTTTACCATTTATCGGTATCACCGTAGGGGAAAAATGCCTGATTTAATTGTTTTCTTATTTCATATTCATCATAAGCTGTCTTTGGGTGTTGTTTGTGATTCTTTCAAAGTATACCCCCAATTTTTAGTAAATATCAACTCGTTATCATAGCTATTTTAAATTTTTAAAATAATATTTATTTTTAAAAATCTAATAATTTTTTAAAATTTTTTAATTTTTTTTTTAATTTTTTTTTAAAAATAATTCAAATAATAATGCCAATGGTTGAAATAATAATAATACATTAAATAGTTCATGCAATAGTACACAGTGGTTTAAATTCAAATAGAAATAATTTAATATTATCTACAGCATCATTAACAAACATTCCAACTATTATAACAACTTCACCATCATCTTCATTAAAGAATAGTAATAGGTCAATAGTTTTGTAGCTACATCATCCTCCTCAGTTAATCCGACAACAAGTAATAATTTAACATCATATGACGAGGTTGAAAAAGGATTCAGGGTCCATGAGGAAGATGAGGCAGTCGAATTAAACGAATCATTAAATGAATTTAACAATGAAAGTAGGTTTGGTGTTGGTCGTGACGTTAGTGATGTTGGCGAGGCTCAAGAAGAAGATGATGACAATAACAAGAATATGGAATTTAAATTCGATTTAGATTTGACTACAATTAATGTAATGGACTATATCGATGACTTTGAAAAGAAATTATAGGAATATTCAGAAAAATAACAAGTAGTTCAAGATTTCAACAAAAATAACATAGATTTAATTCAATATTCAAAACAGGTAGGAGAATCACTAGAAAAATGTGACAAAGAAATGAAAGCACTCTATCAAGATATTTACCCGATTGTATGTATCATATGGTTTTTTAAACATATTCTCTTGTTTTAATTATTTATATTAATATTTATCATTTATCTAGATGTTAATGAATTCTTGTAATGTACACATTTCTTTTCTGTGATTGCTTTATACATTAAATGAAATTTAAATGCACAAACAGAAAAAATGAAGTTGAAAAATTACATAAAATAATTGACGAGGTTCAATTTCAGATGATTTAATAACGTATGTATATCATAACACCTTTATATTTAAAGTTAAAAATATACTAATCCTTATTTGTTTATAGTTTATTAACACAGGGCGAAGTTAATGATCAATATTTACAATATCTATCAATCTTTAGTAAAAAATTGGATATATTCAAACACAAAAAAGCGAAGGTGTATTTGCCAATCATCCCATTGAATACTTCATAAGAAATCAATGGTGATAGGACCAGAGAGACTGAACATGAATTTGAAAGTTATAGAATTGAAAAAGAGAGCTAGCAATGGAAAAAGATTATTGGAAACCAAACAATTAATAGAAAATTAGAGATTACTGACTCAAAAGGTTCATTTGGAAACAGTTAAAATGTAAATACACAATTAAAATTTAAAATTGAAAATATCGAAGAGGAGATAAGACAAAGAATGGAAGAAAAGTTAAATATTTTAAGAAAAATAAATAAATAGATAATATAGACTAATCAAGAGAAGCAATCTTAATTAGCAATCAATCATTTAAAATAGCAATCACCAAATAAAAAAAATAAAATAATATTAATAATAATATAAATTAAAATTAGATATAAAATTAAATTAGATTTTAAAAATAAATAAAAGGAAAAAATAAATGGTATGACCATCATCAATTTACCCAATTTCGATAAATATGATGATGGAATCAATTTAAAAATACAAAGAAAATAAAATTAAATAAAATTATATTTATAAGCGTTATTTTTTTTTTTATTTTTTTTTCACAGATAAAATATAAATATATTTACTTGAATCAGTTTAAGGTAATATATATATTAATATAATTTATTTTTAGAGTAAATTTAACAGCATCTTCTACGACGATGACCAATATCGATATCAATATTGATAATGTTACTGTTACCACCACTGCATGGATTAAAACATGGATTGAAACCACATGAACTGCCACTTAAGCTATTACCAAACCAAACTGATTCATTATCAGAGAATGAGACACTTCCAGATGAAGTTAACATTGATTTTGATGATGCAACATTGACTGGGTTCATTGATGAAATAGATTCTATATAAAAAATAAAAAAATAAAATAAAAATAAAAGTTAATATTTATATTTTTTAAATTTAAAATTTAGTTTTATAAATATTTACTAATAATTGACATTTTATAATATAGTTTTTATCTTTTTAATATAAACTTTGTTTTTAATTAAAAAAAAAAATAAATATTTTATTTTATACTTTGGTAAATTTGTGAAATATAATTCATCTGAAGAAATAAATTATAACAATAAGATGATTTAATAAAAATTTATGAAATGATTTTTCTATTCAAGATGGTTATAATTAGATAAACATACATTTATAAATTATATTATTTTAAAAATTAAATAAAATATAACCCCAAACAAAAAAAATAATATTGAAATAATTAAAAAATAAAATATTTTTCTATTTTAAAATTTAAATATATTTTTAATGTATAATCTTTATTTAAAAATATAGATAATTAATTTTATAAACTATAAATGATTATTTTGAAACTCTGAGCTTAAGTGGCAAGAGGTTATAACTTTAATTGAAAAAATGTACCGAAATCAATTTCTTTGGAGAGTTGCATATTTTAATTATATTTGGTAATCGAATTGTGGGTGTTTGGTATTTGAAACTAGTTAAGAAAGCGTATGTGCTCTTTATCTGTTAATAATCTAAAACTATTTGAGTTCAATCATAGTTGCCTGGCCAGAGCAAATTAATGATGCACATAAAATAGTTAATTAAATTGAGAAGATTCTTTAGTGTTGAGTGGACTAGTTTCACCTTTTGCCAATGTTTCTTTAATACATAATAACTATGCACCAGTATCTATAAGAGATCGAAAGGTACATAAGTTTGCGCTTGAACCAATATCAAATGGATTTTTGATTCTGTTGATTTGCCCGAGTTTGAACATAGTTTTATTATGTAAAACTAGTTTGAAGAAATTTTGTTGGGATAAAGTTTTATGAACCCAATACTGATAAATCTATTGATAAATTGAATATTTATGCTTTTCTGAAAATATGTTATTAATTCGTATTAGTAATTCTGTTTTTATTTTCTATATAGGTTTGTTTTTGTTTTATGATAATTCGCTGATTACTTGCTTTATGATTTTATTTTTTTTTTTTATATTTTTTTTTTTCTATTTTTTTTTCTATTTTTTTTTTTCTTTTTTTTTTTCTATTTTTTTGGGGTAACTTGTCTATTGATAAATTTTAATCCCCAAAGTCTTCTTTAAAATTTAAAGAAGTACACTTTTTAATAATTTTTTTTATATATTTATAAATATAGACTAAAAATCTAATTATGTCTCCTATTAAGACACACATATGAAGAATAATGAAAAAAAATATAATAATTATTACTGTATATATTGGGTAAATAATACATAAAATATTATTCTGATATGGGACAGTAACAATAAGTAATACTAAGGTGATTATTATAATTATTTTTCTTATTTTATAAATATATAATATTAATCTAATTATGTCTCCTATTAAGACACATACATAAAGCATTGTGTAAAAAAACAATGCAATTTTAATTGAATATACAATGTAGTAAACAATATAAAAATAATTATTAATTACTACAGATACCCAAAGTAATGTTAATGTTAAAATAAAAGAAATTAACATTAAAAATAAATGATATAAAACAAAAGTGATTTTATTCATTTTAAATATTGATAAATATTGTTTTCTAAAAACAAATATTATTAATTACTAATGTTATTAAATATTAATTTAATTGATTATTATAAAAAATATTTATTATTATATAAATAAAGACAAATAAAATATTTTATTATTGATTGTATTGTGTAAATATTATTATTTTTTATTTGTGTTGCTGAATATGTGTTGTTTTATGTGTGATTATTAAATAATAATGATAGTTTTTTAATAAGAAGGATTATATTCGAAAGAAAATAAAAAATTTTAAAAAAAAAAAATAAATTATAAAAAATAAATAAAAAAGAGAACTGTTTTGAAAAATATTTATTATAATAAAAAAAAATAATTATATGGAAAAGATATAAAATGGTTTAAATTAAGTATATGTACCTTTAATATATATGATTAATCATTTTTTTTAT